TCTCGGTCGGCCCGCGACGTTTTACGGTTACATCGGCTGCTGTATGTACGCGCGCGCGCGCACGTGTGTGTGTGTGTGTGTGTGTGTGTGTGTGTCTGTGTGTATTTCGTCACCGGGCCGAGTTTAATAGTTATTCGCTCGTCCATTAATAGCGCGCTGAAGTATCAGATCCCGTCACGCCCCTCGGAATCACTTAAGCGCTAAAAGCGATGGCGACACTTACCGTTCGAAGTGAATTCCACGTGCGCGCGCGCGCGCGCGTGTGTGTGTGCGTGCACGCGCGCGCGCGCGTGTCAATACCTCCTCGCAGCAGCGCGCGCACACCACCGCGTGCAATCAGCCGCCGCCGTTGGTGGTGGCGGTCTCGCGGGAAATATTTGCATTGCAAAAGGATCACGAGACGATAGTGCCATTGTCGACGATACCTGAAGGATTTCCAACGCACGACACGCAGCTAGCTCGGCTGTGCGTAGCTGCATACAAGATTGCGACGCTGCGCGCCGATATATACGTTCGCCGATATATATCTCGCTCTGGAATGACGTTTCGCTCGATTATATCGGACTGATTGTGGAAAGCCGAGCTCACCGTGCGCACTCGGTATGCACCCGGGGCTCTCTCTCTCTCTTCTCCGAACGGAAGTGAAAAGGCGAAAAGGCTCGCCGAGAGAGCCTGAAGAAAAGATGGAGGCGAGCAGCGGCAGGAAGTGGTACTCGAGTCGCAAAACACCGGCGCGAAAAGCAGCGCGCGATCGATGGCGCAAGAAATGCGCACGGCTTGCTCCGTACGGCGTTCTCGAGTCACCCCCTGTATCGCGACTGCCCTGCCAAATCGTCAAGTTCGCCGTGAGATTAAGCGACGTTGACGTCCCCCCCCCTAACCGTCTACCGTCGGGTCGCTTGACGCGCGCATGTTAATCCATTCAGGAAGCATATCACACTTGTAAGTACACCTCTCGTACGCGAGTGCGAAAGCGTCAAATTATGCGCGACGCGAGAGAGAGAGAGAGAGAGGGGGGGGACCGACGGGCAACGTAGAAGAGTGATAAAAACAAGACGGGCTCGGATTAAACCGTGCGAGCCTGCTATTACAGAGCGGCGCCGTCTCACGTGAGCGCGCCAGTAATAAGTAACAAATCGACCGTAAGAGAGCACGAGAGAGCGAAATACCGAGCCGCGAGAATAACGCGAGCAACGCGCGCGCGACCGTGTTTCCTTATCGGCTGGGTTTCTTTCTCTCGTGCGTTCTCGCGAGATTAATAACCGCCTTCACGCGACCGATTCGCGTCGATTAAGATGCGCGCGCGCGCGCCGAAAGTAATGAAAACGCATCGTGGAAAATGAGAGGAGATAAAGAAGAAAATATCGCAACGCGTGTGGAGACCGAGCGGGACGCTAATTAGCAGTTTGCGCCACGCGAAAGAGTTTAATTAGTTCGCGGGGACCGGCGCGGCGGCGTGTGTTTCGGATGTTGAAAGCGCGGCCACTGCATCACGTGGCCGCCCTGATTGCTCGTTGCAGCTACGGATGCGTCGCGACATCGACTTCCTGTCGCTGGAGAGCGACCGTCACGACCCAGACGAACCGGATCCGGAGCATAATAGACTAATCAGCGACTAATACGTGCGCGCGCGCAGCCTTCTTGCTCCTTCTCTCTCGCGGTCTCACCCTTTCCTCCCTCCCTCCATCCCTTCCCCCCCCTCTCTCTCTCTCGATAGATCGATCGACGTACACCGCTATCCGTGATCGATGGGATGATCGCGGGCGCGCCGCGGGAAGAATCGCTGTCGCATTATAGATTTTATTTCGGATAAATACGTTGGCATCCTTTATCGCACAATCGGATATTGGAAGAACATTTCCACTTCCGGGACATTGTTGACCGCGCCCGAGAACGCTAACTGATTGTTGCTGGGCGCGTTAATTGGGGAATCGATCTCGCGCGGATCGCGAAAGCGTTGGACAAGAATTCCCGGCCGGAGAAAATTTCGCGCGAGCGCGAGAAAATTGCCGCTTGCGCAGGGAAAACTGCTGCGCGACGCTGACTCGCGTGATTCTCTTTTCTCGGGCCTCTTTCTCCCTCGCGATCTTCGCCGACGAGAACTCGCAAAGTTTACTCGCGACAAGCTTGCAAAGTGGCATCGGCCATTATCGAGAGCGTCGCGTGAAATAATGGTGAGTTGAAAAAGTGTCCCGGCAAACACGATCCGAAGATCGTGGAATGAGCGTGCGCTGCTCCCGCCGGGAGGGAACCCCGTCGTCTCTTTCTTTCTGGCGTGCCCCTCGCGCGATGTTATCGTCACGAGGGCCTCGTCAAAGTTCTCGCGAGCGAAAATGTCGCGTGCAAAGCTGCGTTCGGAGAACATTACCCCCTGGGTCATTTTCCTCCCTAACGGCGTAGTCCCTCCGGCGTCCGGTAGGAACTTTAGTGCGACTCTCGACGTATTCGGATTCTGTTCTCGAATCGACGTGGAGAGGAGCTCCCGAATGAAACCGAAGGAAACTCTCCGTCGAAGATCAATATTCTCGGATCGAAATTTGTCCGAAAATGAGAGAGAGAGAGAGAGAGAGGAGAGAGAGAGGGGGAGAGAGAGAGAGCGCGCGCACAATTCATCAACCTCGCGACAACTTCCGATGCGTACACTCTGATTTTTTCAAATATAACGCGAAACAATACGAGATATGAGAAGCATTCTCGGGACGTCATAGCGTCGAAATGGGATTTGGAAGCCAGCTCCCAGAAGAACTTGTCCTTTCTCAGACACAAGAAAAGACATCCAGCGGGCTTTGAGTGATAAAAAGTCGGCTTTGCGAGAGCATCCGACGGTTGATCCGAGAAAGGACTTTTCACGAGATAAATAAAGAACGCACCGAGAGAAAGAGAGAAGAATAATATATATATATATATATATATATATATATATACGTGTGCATGTATACACGCACGGTCGTTCCGCCGGGCGCAGAAACGATTCGACCGCGCGTCGTCGCGACGGAATTCGACGGTCGGTGACGTTAATCGGGTTGTTACACGTCAGGACGGCGGTTGATATATTATCGAGCCTGCCGGAAACGCGACCTAATCCGCGATAGGTCACCGCGCGCGCACGGTGACGTCGGCAGACAGCGGTTGTGGGATACTGGGTTACCAGTGCACAGCGACTTGATGAAGTGCACTCGAGTGTACTTGACTTGTGCGAAGACGCTGAATATGCACCGGCTCAGCTCAGCTCAGCTCAGCTCAGCTCGGCTCGGCTCGGCTCGGCTCGGCGGATGCCGGCTGTCGGCGCGATGTATTACTGCGGATCTTATCCCGACCAATGTCGTCTATATTGGGAACGATTTGCATTTCAAACTGGCTCTCATTGTGTTTGTACGTGCGCGACACGGTGTCTCTCATTCTCCCTTTTTCTCTTTCTCTCCGTGTGCCGCTCCTTTTTGTCCGTGGAATCATCGCGTCGTTTCCTTCGCCGTCGTCGTTGGCGCGAACGAGCGAACGAGAACGCGTCGGGACGCTCTTCTCCGGCTTTCCTCGAGAAACGACCGGCGCTTTTACTCGCGTATCGAGACCGAGTACGAGTACGCGCGAGAAAGAGGATACCTCGTCGTTAACGTCGTAACGACGAGAACGATCGGCGAATCGAGACGACTCTGGGTATAAAAGGGTCCGAGGAATAGCGCCGCGCGCGATCGGCTCTGCCGCGTCAGGATCTCGTCAGGAGTGTCGCGCGTGCTTCTCGAGATCGGACGGATACTTAAGGGTGCTTAATTAATTAAAATTGCGAATCTTCTTGGGAACAGAAATATGTAAAAAGAAGTTTGGTTCATGTGCGTTACTTTTACACGTTTACGCGTGCGAAAATAACACATCTGGATGTAAACAGCAATAGAATATAAACGGCCGATTATTCGCTTTACCGCAGCGGCCAGCGGAGAAATTTCAAGGAACGCGCACAAACGCGTTTCTTAATCGCTTTACGACGGAGGACGGTCGACAATGGCACTTCGTACTCGACGGACGGATCCTCTCTCTCCGTCCAGGATCACCGCGAAACTTTCGAGGGGAACGAGGGTGTCGCCATCGCGCTGCAAAAGGAAACGCCGTACGACGAGGTAGGCGCGCGCGCGCGCGCGCGCGCAAGCAACGGTTGCAGCGGCACGCGTTCACCAAGCGTTCCCCTCGCGAGGGGCCGCTCTCTCTCTTGCGGAATACGTTGTTACTTCTGCTCGCGGAGCTTCATTCCCTCCCGCACGTGCGTATATCGAGGAGGATATACGCACGTGTATACGGTAAGCATAATACGATAGCGGCCAGCCGCTCGCGGTGCTGCTGCATCCGTTAACAAGATCATTACGACGTCCTCTCGCATCCGGAATGTCCGGCTTTCGGGGATTTGGGGGAGGGGGAAATTTTCCCGATAAATTAACGGGAAAGCGTTGCGATAACATGCGGATGGAAAAATCGAGTCACGTCCGCGGTGCGCGCGCCATCGAACGGCGTTTTCACGGCCGTCGCGGTGGCGAACGAAGAATCGGGCTTTTCCGCGATAATGCGGCGCGCGTCGCCAGTTACAAAAATAATCGCCGCGAAAAAACAATGTATGTGTAACGCGGGAACGCGAAAAATTCCGGGGAGAAAGGCGGGAAGAAGGAAGCGGAAAATGAGAGAGGAAAAATACGTCGCGATCGAGACTATCTCGCGAATTATCGATGATATGGAGAACAAATATTTGGGAAAGGGAAGACATGAATAATTCGCAATCGCGGAAGATAAATATATATCATTCCGGTGCGTCGGTTGTCGCAACGGAGCGAGGAAAAATATGGTACGCAAATACACGTTGTTCGTTCCCCCCCCTCCCCCCCCCTCTTCATCGGATTCGGGATGCGAGGAGAGTCGTTTATTCGGCGCGACATTAACTTAAGGAACTAAAGGTATTGTCTGTCTGTCGAATAGATAGGTTGACAGGGGTGGTTCGCAATCGGGCGACGCAAGCTTACCTTGCTGCCTCTTTCGTTAAATATGATTTCCACATCAAGGATCGGTCCGAATTGCTGAAAAGAGAAAATATTTGGTTGTGAGTTTCTGCTGCGTTAAACAACAATACAGCACGACGTTCATGCTGCGCGCAACATAATATTACATAAATGTTATATTAATATAACAAAATATTAGATATTAACCCGCGTCTCTTGGACGGAGGTGGTGATGATGGCGGTGGTTTGACGCAAATTATAATTGAATTTTGTGTCAAAGGAAATTAGCCCGGCGCAGGAGCTTTCTCGTTTCATTAACTTTTTAATTAAACTTTTATATTTTAATAACCGTCATAACGCGCCGGGGAGCGCGATTTCAACAGACTTCTGCGAATTTCCGCCCGTAAATATTAAATCGAAGCGCGAGCCTTCAATGTGAACGCGCGCGGTCAGCTGTGAGTCGAAAAAGATGGGGGCGAAAATCACAATCGTAATGAACGAGTAATTGAAAGAGCGCTCTGCTGTCAGCCTTTGTTAACAAATTAACAATTCTCCGCAAGAATACACACGCGTATTCTCGAAACCTAGATGGTTTCTCGAAAAAAAAGAAAAAAAAAAAAAAAAAAAAAAAAAAGAGAGAGAGACTCGGTACCCTGAAAATTTTCTTGGTCTAAGACATTGAGAGAATACATTTCGCCGCGAATATCTCCGTTTTGCGACTTCGACCGACTCGCGATACACACACCGGAGGGGAAATCGATAGGAGAAAAATGCACTGGACAGCGAGAAAGCGCACTTTGTTTGCCTTTCCAACGTTATAATCGGAGGATGAAACGCGAGCGCAATCGTCGCCGATGCGACGAGCGGCAGGTAAACAATGAGCGCGGAAATAACGAAAGGGAGGTCAGAGATATACTCACCCCGAACATCGCCCTGAGGTCAGGGTCTCGGAAACGGAAGGGTATGTTGCTGACGTGCAAGCGCTTTGGTTGACCTTTGAGGTCGGTGCCCTGTGTCGCTGTCGCTGGCGTTGTCGCACCTGAGGTGACAGGTACTAACGTGGTAGCCTCCACGCCGCCTTCAGGGCTCGCCTCATTGCCAGCACCCGTCGCTGGCGCCGGTTGCTGGCCGCCGCCATTCGCGTGTGCCGCTGCCGCAGCCGCCACCGCAGCTTGAAACACCTCCGACTGTCGACAGAAAACAACAAATGGACATTTTAGTGAGCTCTCTCTCTCTCTGTCTATCTCTCTCTCACACACACTCTCACTCTTTCTCTCTTTCGCGTGTCATCTTCCACGGTGACACATTTAAACGCACACGTTAAATGCGGCCGGAGAATGCGAGGTAATGCTCATACAATACTGTAAGCTGGAAAATTATCATAATTATTATATTTATAAGTTTGTAAGCGTAGCTTTGGGAGAGAGAGAAACAATATTCGTTTCTTCGTTTATTTCGTTTGTAGAAGCGCACACATCGTGGAGTTTGTATAAAAATGATGTTTCATTCGTATAACAGATACTTTAGTGATAACACGAGATTTACGGTACGGGCTGGCGCAATTTTCAGATCTCAAAACGCTCGTGAGGAAATTCTAAGACCTAAAATGTTTTGCAAATTCTAAAGACTCTGCTTCTTCGTTCTTTCTTTCTTTCTTTCTTTCTTTCCTTCCTTCCTTCCTTCCTTCCTTCCTTCCTCTAACGAGGTTCTCTTTCTTCCTTCGGGATGCAGATTTATATGTAATCGCGTCGCAACGTTAGACGGTAAACGACAGTAAGAATACGGCGGGGATTGACGGCGCGAGTGTTTCGGTAAATTTACCGTAAGACGACCGAGCATCGTCGGGTTAAGAAGATAAGCGATAAGCGTGCAAAGTAATTGATGCGCGACGATGACGACGACGACGATGTTTACGAGAGCAAGTAGATTGATAAAAAGGAGACGACGCGCGTAGTAGGGATCGTCGCGCACTGTCAGGGTTAATAAATGGTGCAAACAACTCGGTCGATGTAGACTGCAAACTTTGGTTCGCGATACCTTGGCTGTCGTAATGTATACGTCGACGTAATACGCAACGACGACAGCGCGCGGAACTGACGGGAAGTGTAATAATGACTGCGTTTCCGCGGCACGATGAGGCATTGCTTCATTTGCAGCGTACAACACGCGCGCGCGCCGTATAATTAGCGCCAGATGGAAAGAGATTCGTCGCGTTATGGGCGGACTTGATATTTTCCCCTAGAAAATATCCACAGGGACGTTAATTCGCGCGCGCGCGCGCGCGTATGCGACACGAAGCCCCGATGTAACGACGTCGCGACGAAAGTGTTTTCGGCGAAACGGGAAGTAATTAACGTTGCAAACAGCGAGAGAAACCCATGTAGTTAATCTCGCTCGGATTATCGTCATTCCCACGACAATACGCACATTTGTTTCTTTTCTCATTTCATTTCATTCTTTTTTTTTAACAAGAAAGTAATAGTGGTAAAATGCGCATCAGGTTATTGTCGTCGGCATTGTACAGCGACGTTTGTTGCAACAATGATTTTGCCGACTGTGATTGATTTATGGCGCAATTATAATGACAAATACGCGAAACACACACAACTTCCCAGAAGCGATCGATCGTGTTTCCTCGGTGGAGAGAACCCGAGACCATTACGTTGTTTTCGAGTGCGCGTGCTTTTTCCCCGATCGAAAATCGAAAACAATCCGCAGCGGATTTCTCGAGATTTCTCCCAGGCTTTTTCTCAGGTGCTGACGAACACCCTGAATGTATAATGTGAATTGCGTTGCTGCGTGGTCGCTGGCGATTGATGTACCGATGAAATGGTAAATCAATGTCAGTAGTTGCGCGTTAATAATTCAACGTCGTAAACGATAAATTACACAGCGACGCGAGTGTTTTCTCTCCTTCTCTCTCTCTCTCTCTCTCTCTCTCTCTCTCTCTCTCTGTGTGCGTGTGTCGCAAGAGCACGGAGAGACTTTACAAACTTGCGCGTTCTAATCGACGAAACCGACGAGCAGAAGAGATCTCCCGTTTTTCGATGGAAAATGGGCGAGTCCACGCGGCCGCCATAACACGTCCTTCGCGAGACAAATCTCTTCCATTTCGCGTTGCGCGGCGCAATCGACGCGCGTCTAAGATACCAGCGAATTATCAGCAAGCTCCAAAAAGTCTACCCAATCTCGTGGCCGGGCTGTAAACGATGATTTACAATGTACGTGCGAGATCCCGCCGTGTTCATACAAACGGGGGCGGGGGGGCACGGCATGATCGCGCCGGCAGAATTCGCCGCGGAAACGGCGAGTGGTAATATCTGAAAGTGGTCGGCCGAACGGCCGACCTTATCGCGGTCGCAGCTACTGGCCGGCCGCGCAAAGTGAATGCACGCCGTGCGCGGCCGGACGCGCCGCACATACGAAGGTTTCGTTATTTTCGGTGGTGATCTGCTTTCTATGCGCGAATGTGCGCGATTAGCTCGACGAAATAAAAGAGACAAGGGGAGAAAGAACGTAAAGGGCGTGACCATTTCTCGAGGCAGGCGAACGATAACTGGCAGAAAGGCTGTTTTCTTTCTCGATAAATTCCGCAACGTACGTTCGACAAGTAAATTTCTCTTTCCATCCATTCGCGGAAGGGTTTTTTTTTCTTGATAGCGATTCAAGCTGTGACTTGACTAAAAAAGTAGTAAAACGCGGAATATTAGCGCGGCATTACTCGGGTTATAATATAATAATCGAGGTATAGTAGTACTTTGAAAAATTCGGATAGCCGAGACTCTAAATAGAACCAATTTCTTTTCAGTCGTACATGCTTCACAGATATTCAGACGTTCGTGTAGTTGACAAATGTTCACAAATATTAGCACTTTGAAATTTTGTGATTTGAATATAATGTGCCTCGCGGAAATTAAGAGCTTCGAGCACAATTTATATAGTTTCCAGCTGTGACAACATTACGGAGCAATGCGAGCGTCGGTAGAAAACGTGAAGGGGATCATCGCGTGAAGTTTGTGCGCGTGACGCGCGAATTAATTTCGGCACGCGATTCTCGCGGAAACTCATTCGCAGCGAGATTACACGTCGCTCTCATCGGCGTTTCATATTGAATTCGATTAAATTCACAATCGCGCGCGAGAGATTCGCGTTCCCATCTGGCGGAATTGTTGTACGCGGATGCGATAACAATAATTATCTCACCGGTAACGCGCGAATTACTCAGTTAAACGGTTACTCGTTTCTATCGAGAATACACAACTGCCCCTTCCTCGCTGTGTAGGTAAGCGCCAGCCTTTTTGCGGCCGATTGTTAATTTTTGCGCGCGAAATTGTGTGTGCCGGTTCGCGAACTGCCGCTCGGTGAATTATTTCGCCGCGTGCGATGCGAGCAGATTATAGACCGCGACGACGGGGGAACGTCAATATGCTGCCCGGGTGAATTTTTACGACGTCGGCGAGAGCTTGTTTCGCGGGAGATTGAAACTTTTTTCTTCCACTTCCTTTCCTTTCTTCTTTCTTGCTCTTATTTTTTCTTCCCTCAACATCGTCCCAATCTACATGCGCAAAAACGGCGAGCAAAGCGTGCGGCTCGGCCCTCGTGACCAGGAGGGAGCGGGGCGGAAATTTATAACGGGGTGGAAAGCAGAATGAGCCAACGCGCGGACGTAAACCGTCAGACGTAGTCCATGCATCCCTTCTTTAACGCACCCCCGCCACTCTTCCCTTCCTACGTCTCATACATACCGTCTACCTCCTGCTTCATCTCGCGAAAGTGATGATTACTCGCGGCGAAATTTCGACAATTTCGCTCCTCGCTCCGCGTCTCCTCTCTCTCTCTCTCTCTCTCTCACCGTTCTTTCGTTACTTCTTCTTTCCGTGTCCCTTTTTCCGCGCGTCGCCGTTTCCCTTTCAGTCATTTAGCAACTCCCCTACAATTGTCATTCGTGAATTGTCGTTCGTTATTATCGACGCATCCAGTTTCTGGGAAACGATAGAATCCAATTTGTGCAAATTTGCTGATTTCATAATAATACTTGCGTCGGAACGGAAATCGGAGGTTTCTAAAATGTTCAATCCGATTGTCTTTGCAATTAGTCTTGTCACTCCTCGAATTAATCTGATAATTAATACGCAAGCTATCGCGCGGATGGAAATTTTTTTATCGATCGACCCCCGTCCAGCGGTCACACGAATTGGGGTCGTCGGAAAGGAGAAAAGATATAAATTGCCATGCTTTCCCAGGTATTTCTCACGACGTGCCCCAAACGGGAGAGAGAGAGAGAGAGAGAGAGAAAAGAGAGAAGGAGAAAGACACCTCGCGGCTCTGTGCTCCTCTCTTTCTCTCTGCCGTTTTGCGATCGCGGAAGAGCGCGCACGCAGTCGTTCCAATTTGGCGAAATTACTCCGATTTGACGGACGACACCCGTTGCGCGAAATAATCGGAATCGCGTCGGCATATCTCTCCTCTCCCCCCCCCCCATCGACTTGGCGGATATTGCCGGTCCGGTATTCGGCGGCTGCGCCGCTCATTATTCTTCCCACGACTTGGACGGTATTTGCGCGGGCCGTAACGAGCGCGTCGCGATGAAACGCGATAGATTTCGCACAGAGCGCATTTCTCCATCCGTCAGAACAGAATCAGCACACGCTGTTATCCCAGCTAGCTCTGTCTTCAGAGATCACCTCTGTTCGAGAACGACTGTTCAATCGCCGCGCTGTTGTCGACCGCGACCGTTTTATACATACGTTAATCAGCGCTTATTTCTCGGAAGGTCGACGACATGTGTTGATAATTGCTCCATTGGATAAATCCATTAATAAAAGCCATCGGGAGAGAATGTGTCTCTCTTCCGCTTCTCGCGCTTCTCGTGTGAATGATCTTCTCGTCTCAGCTAGGCGATCGAGAGAATCTCGCGAGCGAGCTCCGTCGCGCGGTCATCCGTCTCGTGTATCGTGTATTATCCACGTGCGGCACGACGCGCGTACTCTTCGTACGCGATGCGAATTTAGTGCGGATCAGATGCGCGCGTTAAATCACCGCGCGCGAGCGCGCTCACACGCGAGGAGTTGCGCGAGATAAATCCGACAAATGATGCAAACCGCGGAAGACGGATAATGTCATCAGGCCGGCAACGTTCGCGGATTCTGTACAGTTCGAGAAGCTTTTAGTCTGGCATGAATAATAG